TATATATATATATATATATATATATATATATATGGGAATGTTTAATGTACTACTATTAAGTTATTGTAATTTCGATTAATGCCACTAGGTGGTGGCAGACGTCAAATGGGCCAAATTTTCTCTGAAATTGTAAGTGTAATCTTATACATTTTACTTATATTATGCACCAAAACATTCTACATGCCTTTGAGCCTAAATATTTGCCCACCTGTGAGACAACAACCAGCAGAGGGACTACTGTAGCTATTTTGGTGCCGTGCTGGTGAAACGTTGCATCATTTAATTTAGTGAAACGTATTACCCTTATCGATAAAATTTACTTCAGAGAAAGTCACACTAATAGTTTGTCTAACTTTTTTCTTTTTGCCATTTAACTACTCCAAGAGCAGAAAGGTTCCACAAGTCAGTCCATAATTAGGTTTGTGAAGTTTGTACACGTTTTTCAGCTCCAATCAACTGTGCCGTGGCAACAATGTACTCATTCAAAACCTATTAGCGATTCAAACTTGAAACTTGTGACCTCTGAAAACTGCTGATCAACACTTCAGTCAAGCATTAAAACTGCAGGCACAAGATTCTATAAACAGAGCAGCATCAAGGACAGTGCCTGGAGCCTTCTCCCATCACTGCCTCAGGCCTCTCTACACACTGCTTGCCTCCTAATGAATCCTACAGGTCTGTTTTTTTCCTACCCAGAGTGAGAGAACAGGGTGATGGGCCAGTTGGAGACAGGCTGGGGTGGAATGTAAATGAGGAAGAGCAGTGAAAGTGTGGTTTGTGTAGAAATAGGATTTAGTTCCTCACCTGTAGAGAGCTTCAAACAGGTCCTTAGAACTGACTCCAAATGCCTTTTCATACTGGTTTCTTCCCTCTCTGAAACAAAAATTCACAGAGCTGTAGACCATCCTCTCAAAATTGCAAAATACTGAAATATTGTGATATTTCATTTCACGATTGTGCATTTATTTTTCTACAACACTAAAAAAAATTTTATTACCAGTTAACACAAATATTCATCAGCTTTTTTCTTCTCTGCCGATTACAAATATAGATCCCTCTGTTCCAGTTTTATTAACCAAATGTAACAGCATTGGGGTGTTTATTGTGCTAACTATTTTCCTACTATTTTAAGATTTAAACAGGAGACAAATAATATATAGATTGGATATTTATTTCTATATTATATTGCTTCCAAGACACAAAAGAAAACAAACATTAAGATATGTCCAAATATAATGTAGTGCATTGAAAAAAAAACAGAATGAAAAGTGATTAAATTTGAACAAAGTCAGGCAGGAATCCTATTTAGCCCTATGTACTGACCTGACTGCATCAGTAAGGTACTGCCAGCAGGTATAGATGGTCTCAGACCTGTACTGGATGGACTGGAGGAGAGACGAAGGACTGGAGCGGATCAGGTAGATACTGGCCTCATCAGAGTTACTGTAAAACACTAAAGGAGAAGGTGATATTTGGACCGAGGAAGTGTGAAAATGTGGTAGTGACAGCAGTCTAATATTTGAATATAGAGAAAAACAGTAGAGCATCTCAGCAACAGTAACAAGTAGACCCAAGAATTAAGATACTAGGTAATTAATAAAGGCGAGTTTATAAATAACATCTCTGAAAGCACAAATAGACAAGCACATGAAAAACAAAATCCAGTACATCATCCCAAATAATGAAATTTCAGTCCATACAAAGGTCAAATGTGGTAAAATCATTTAAATGCACACAACTACATCGGGTTCAAAAGGTGAGGAAACACGCAACCTAAAAACAAACATTTTTCGCAAGAACATGACCAATATCCACAAGTATCTGTTTTTAAAAAAGAATGACCTAATCAAGTACAATCTCTTGAAACAATGAGGAAGTTATTTGTGCAAACGTTAATTGTGTAAATACTATATTTGGAAACTAATTTAAACTTTAAAAACACCACAAAACACTTCAGTGCTTGGAGTAATACTTTAATGAGTTTGGTACAGTACATTCAACTTAACTTCCTAATGTGACACTTTACTAAAGTGTTGACTCAATATGGCTCCTCCTGAAAAGAGAGACAAGTTTAAGAGAAGATACAGACTGGAGAAAGCCACATGATACAGCAGCAAGGCTGAAACATGAACAGTTAAAAAAGTATGAGTTTTTAAGTTTAAATTCATTAAATGGTGAGAGGCAGTGAAATCTTACAGGAAGCAAAAACTTGAAAAGGCAACAAACAATTGAAAGAGATTTTTTTTAAAGAAAGCTATTATTCAAAACAAAATGGTGGCTGGATGTAAAGTAAAGTAGAAAATATATCAACCGTTACTTAAAAGCAACATACAAACTTAAAAGTAAGGCAGTATAACAAATACTTTTATTGTACCATTCAAACATAAGGCAAGTTTTAAACAAGTGCTTATTTCGACAGTTAGACATTAACGGTTGTAAATCAATTGCTTACCTTAATGTTTAGTGTAGCTCTTGTTACGTTCTGGTAAACTGGAACGCGTCGAATCAAGAACCTATTTAAAGTTCTGGGAGAGACCATGAGTGAAGATTGAGGAGGGGTGACACCGGACAATGGTACATTTTATTTTTCTTAGTATTAGTATATAGCGGGATTTTTTTTGTAAATTATTATACATAAAAGTGTATTGATTTCTTGTGTTATCCAAAATGTTTTTTGGCATACATTTATGATTTTATTTTGGGAACTCAGAGCACACCTTAATGTGTTAATGGTAAGGTCTGAGTGTCACCCTGCTGCGGGACTGATCACACCTGAAACAAATGTGTTAATTGAAGGGGTTGTTTTTGGAGCTAGTTATTATTAAAAATATTATTTTTTTGCAAGAATCTGCACGCGTCTATTACAGAAAGGGTGGGGCAGAGGCAGCCATGTGGGGTTTAATAACCATGCGTTTAATGAAAGGATGCCTTTCCTTTCAAAATAGAAGGCAGGAAGTTAAACAGCTGACCTAGTTAAAGGTCTTGCTCTGAGTATTGTTAAACAAAAAAACTGCCTCCAAAACTGACCTTGTCCATCATCACAGTGTGTTTGGAGCAGTTGCAGTCCTGCACAGGCAGCCAGTAGTCGCTCTGTGCCGTCCAGACTGGCTCCAATGGCCTTACTGACATCCTTCGCAGACAGGGGGCGCCCTGCGGTGTGCAATACATCAAAAACACCTAGCTCACACGAAGTGAACACTGTCTGTCAGCAAAAAAACAACAACAACAAAAAAAAAACAATTACAATCTAGTAAGACTCTGTATGTACCAACGCAATGTGCTTGACAGGTAAAAAAACAAAACAAAATTATGACATCACCACCGTCTAGTAACATCTGAAAAACTGTAAAACTACTATTTATGGCATTTTGTTTGTACACCAGGGATTTCTCTAATGTACAATATATGCTGTGGCCCAAATAACAAGTTCAGGAAAAACTGCATTAGAGAGTGGCAGACAAAGTAATCATGAAAGTGCAAAAATAATAAGAAAATTAATGTAATTTTACAGCCTTCACATTTTAATGTAATGTATATATAATTTGTATTATATAATTATCAGTTGTATCCTCATTACGTTTTAATGTAATGTATATATAATTATCAGTTGTATCCTCATTACATTCATTTTTAAATACTGCAGCTGGACTCATTATACAGTACAGGTTAGTCTGCCTGCCAAGGGACCAAACTACATCAGCGCTCCTCATCAGCAGTCTGACATTGCACAGTAGGACACTTAATTATTGAGAAGTAATTAACACTAACCTAATTCCTACATCTTTGTTCTTTTTCACGCAGCCATGTCTTGCTGAGTTCATTTTCTTTTAAAAAAAAAAATGGGTACAAACTATGAGTATGCGCCAAAGTTACCTTTGAAATAAGGAATCCTTCCAGATATTCCAGTATTTTTCTAGGGTACGTGTCGGCAGGAGGCGTCCCCTGAGTTAAGGTCGTCTCTGGATGTTCTGCCATAGCCGCAGGTTTGACAGGACGCTTGAAGAAATGTAAAGCACTGTGCTCCTTCAACCTCTACACCTTGCAATGGGTTTTATGTAAAGGCAAAATGAGACTTAAGTTGTAAGAAAGTGCCCACCAAGCAGCAGCACAGCAGCAGTCAGAGAGGCAGTGGGCTAAGCTGATTACAGCCAGATAACCCAGATTAGAGCTGGGGTTCAGTCTGTGCTGGACAATGGAACATTGTTCAGGAGCTACACTGCTGCTTTGTTCACTGTCACTCAGATTAAGACCTTTTTTAACCAGATCTTTTAAAAAAAAAATATATATATATATTATTACACCAAGACTATATCAATATTGGATCCCTCGGTGAGGGAATTTGTGATGGGAATACTGTAGTGCTTGTTCTGTTTTGTGGGTTTTTTTCATCAGAGACAAGCTTACTTTTACTGCTAATGACACGTCGTGTTGCATCACATGCTTTGATGAGATTACAGCCACTAATTATAATTTATCTGTGCAGTTTATTAAGTGTGTGTGGTGCAGAGAGAACACGGTTGTCAGTTGATCTGACCATTTAAATGAGTCTGTGCTTTTAGCTCGGGAAAAAAAAACTATTGCACTTTAACTAGTGTTAATGTCTGTATTTTTTTATTTTATGACTTACTAAACAGAGAAAGGAGATAGACAGAGACTTCATTTTGTCTTTGCAAAATAAATGTCATGTTGAAAACCTAGAAAAACACATTTTAGGATTTGGAAACATTTACCTAAGTTTTTGCTTTTCCCCAATGCATTCCTGACTCAACAGTAAAATCATGACAAATGTTCACCGTACATCTTCACAAGTTCTCAGGTTGGACTTTTATTTTAACTCGACAGTAAGACATGCTGCCGCTGCTCCTGAGCATGCACCGACTACATACGATAACTGGGCTTTACTATAAAATGCAATACGACATCAGCAACAGTCAAAACTTCCCCACAGTTCAAGTTCATGTCAAGTATGAATATGTTTCTTATTGTTTCAGTACAGGACTTGTCTTTTAAAATTTGAGGCAATGTCTACAAATTGACGACCAAATCAGAAGCAGCCAAATCAATTCTCAAAGGAACAGTTCAGTACTCATACATCTAGTCTAAGAATATTTAAAGCTAAAGATATGTATCTAGAATTATTTTTTTAACTCTTTCATAAGTGTATTCAACTCATCAAACATATACAGTATATATATAATATAGCAGCTTTAGCAGTGATTCCCAACCAATCAACACCTTAGTGCTGTTACACAGCATTCTGTGTCCACTGGAAAATTAACCATTTTCACTTAATTGGTCTGAAAAGTGTTATCTACTAATATTTTGCTTTAATTCATCAATGCAGTGTTGGCAGAGCATGTAAATATTCCTCCAGTAGGTTGCATCAAATGGCTATAGAAAGCTATTAAAGATCTCTGTGTGTGTCTTTCTTCAATTCCTTTAAATACTGTATATCAGCATGGTGTTCAACTAAACAGGCCAGAAAAATATGTTGGGCTGGGAAACACTGATCAGTCCAGTGATGATATGTAATGCCTGGCAGTAGAATTGCACTGTTCTCTGTACGGGCATTGATCGTGTGTGGTTCACTGCAAACAAAAATTCACATTCCTCTGTCCAACTTTGTTCAAGTTTGCTTTAGACCTACACCCACTGCACCCTTCAAAAAAGTATAATTTTAAGTATCTTAAATCTAAAACTTGCTTTGAAGATGATGGATAGACAGGTGTGGTGTTAATTCTAATTCATGAAGATAAACTCAAATCACCAGGGCTGAGAAACATAGTGTTTGGGTCAAGGCCCATATCACTGCACACTATAGTTTCCTTTTAAAACATTTCCAAAACAGTAAAAATTCTACTTTAAAAAAAAAAAAAAGTCAACAAAACTCAGTCGAATTCCATAAAACATTAGTCCACAGTTGAAATCCTGTGTATGTTTGTGTCGGCTGCCTTTAAGCAAAGCAACCACTGGTAAAGACCACGGTTTTGCAGGAAAGCCGTAAGCACATGACCACATGAGTAGGTGTCACAGCTCTACACATCAGAGCAGCAGCCATAGTGGAATCATTAAAAACATACAATACACAATTTTTTAATCTTAGCAAAGAAAGACGGCTTTCTGCAGAGCTCGCTGCTTTTTAAGAAAGAAAGAAAAGGTTCTGAGGAGGTCGATCCAAGTTGTCCCCCGTCAGCATGAAAAAATAACAGTTACTGTATATAATGAATGGGGTCTGACTAAATCTGAACGGAATTGTACTTTTCATTCAGTCATGAACAGTAGTTTTTCTGCATTTCACAGTTGCCTTACATTGCACTTTATTAAGAAAATAAAGTTGAATGCAATGTATTTAACAGGGTGGGTGGAAATCATCATTTTTGGTCAAATAAAAAAAAAACTAAATTTGAAAAAACAACAAAAACAACCTCAGTCTATATATTCAGTGTGTACGTTTCACTGAACAGCCACTCACACTGAGAGACAGACGACTCAGCGTCTCCTGGAGTGACTCCTGTCTCTGCTGGAGCTGCGTCTCCTGTACCTCCGACTGTAGTGGCTGTGACTCCTCCTGTCCCTGCTTGTATTACTGGCCCTGGAGCTGCCTCTGCTGTATCGACAGCGACTGCGCCTGTGACTCCTCCCCTTGCCGTAGCTCCTCCCACTGCTGCTCCTGCTCCTGTCTCTGCTGGAGCTCGTGCTCCTGCTGCTGTTGCTGCGCCTCCTGCCACCGTGGTGACTGTAGCTCCTTCTGTGGTAACTGGAGTCCCTCCTGTGGCGGCTAGAACTCCTTCTCTTTCTGCTGTAGCTGTTGGAGCACTTCCGCCTCCTACTGTCTCCGTGGGAGCTTCTCTCTCCGTGGGAGCGCTCCTGAATCCTTCCTTGCTCTCGACTGTTCTTGCTCCTCGCCAATTCTTCCTTTCTTTCCTCCCGGCCCTTTTTCTTGTCCTCCGCCCTGGTTCTCTCCCCCGTTGCTCTGTTCTTAGAGGAAACATTGGCGCTACATTTAGACGCTTGTTTCTCTTTACTCTCACCGGCCTTGGTCCTGTCCAACCGCTCCAGAACGTCCAACATCACATCTGTGCCACCGGGCACGCCGGTCTCCTTACTCGGCTCCAGGTCCTGTGTTTCTGAGGGATTGGAGGTTCTTTCATTGCTTTTCTTCAACAGGTTGCACAGAAGCTTCTCCCTCAGCTCCTTCTCTCTGCGCTGCATCTCCAGAGCTCGCTCTTTCTCCACCTCTACCCTGTGGAGTTCCTCCTCCTGCTGGCGTCGACAGGCCTCTAGCTGCTGAAGTCGGGCTAAGTCCTCCTTCTGTCGAGCTTGCTCCTGCCTTTCCTCCTCCTCTCTCTCTGCCTTTTCTTTCTCCAGCTGCTGCTGCTTCAAAGTCTGAGAAAAAATAAAGCTATGATTTATTGTTCAGATGTCTAAAAATGCATATTCACAGATGTATTCACCACCACTTTGAAGGAACAGATAAAGCTATGATTTATGGTTCAGACGTCTAAAAATGCATATTTACAGATGTATTCACCACCACTTTGAAGGAAATCTGTCAAACTACATTTTTCCTCTCATACCTTGGCCCTGGCCAGGAGCTCAGCCACCAGTCGTATGGAACC